CATGCCCAGGCTATAACAGGACCTTTGGTATCTTCCTCTACCTCTCCATGTTATTGCCTTGAGCCTCTTACTGAACCAGAAGTCTGTCATTAAGACAAGGCTAGCTGACCAGTGAACTCTCAGGATCCACCTGTCTCAATCCCCCTATGCTGGCATTATAGGCACATGGTGTCATGCCCAGGTTTTTACATGGGTCCTGGCTCCACATGCTTTCACAGCAAGTGCTCTTACCACTGAACTATCTCTCTACACCCTGAAACAGTCATTTGAACACTATTAAAACCATCATCTTGAAGGATATCCTTTCTTTTAGACAATTTTACAATCACAATGACTAAACAACAAACAGAATTGATTAAATTAATATTGGCTTACCTGTTTATTAACTGGGGTCTGTATGCTTTAAACAGTGTACATAACCCCATTTTTCCTTGAACTTCCTACACAGAGCAGAGCACTGAGGATGTCTTTAGACTATTCTCAGGAACAGGAGGTGATTTTTCCCTCCCTCATGCCCAGTCTTCACATGCAAATGGCACTGCTTGTGTAGCGGTTGTTACTGCCACGATACACCGGACGTTCTCAACATTTTCTGCACATTAGAAGCCTCTCAAAAATTATAAAAGATCATAAGTTTTTCAGAACTCTAAAACCCAAGCTGTATCCAAGACCAATTAGATCAGAATCTATGGGAAAAGGACCCAGACAGCCATTAGTATTTTTTTTAAGCCTCTCAAATGACTCCAGTGGGAATCCAAGTCTGAAAACCACTATTTGAGAAATAAACCTTCATTCAGTTCCCTAATGGTCACAGAATCACATACTGGTTTTATGACAAAAGAGGTGAACCTACAACAAAGAAGCATCCTATGAATAAACAGCAGTGTGAAGGGTATACTCATTAATTTCCTGAATTTTTTGTTTAAATCATTAGATGCCCTATATTGCATCTTTAGTGTTTTTCCAACTCTTACTAAAATGTACTACAAAGATCACTTTGTCACAGAACATTCAAATTGAAGAGAAAATATATATACACTTGTTGATTAAAATAATTCTAAAACATAGAAAAGCCACCTCCTTGTACTATTTAGAAATGACCAGCCCTACTGTTTGACTGAATTTTTACCAACAGGCAGAAATACTTAGCATCTTGTAAGTGAAAAAAAACAATATCCAGGCGACCATGTAGAAAAGGAATGAAAGATTGACTACAAGCAAATGATATGGTGGAAACTTAAAAATCACTTTAAGACATGATTGAAAATGGCCCTTCCTAAGGTGAATCCACTTCCAGTCAAGGAGAAACACATCTTCGCTCAGTCTACATTCTCAGTCACATGCACTTGCACACATACATGGATCTACATGTTCCATCTAGAAACAGACTTTTAACTTTCTACAGCACACACAGATAATCTACTAATGTCAAAAAGAAAGTTATGTTTTTCACTTGATGATGTATCAAATGGCACCGATGTAAAAAAAAGTTTATTATGTCATTCGGTATTTTTAAAAAATCCATATCCAGTGGCACACACTTACAATCCCAGCAACTGAGAGGTAAAGGCAGGAGGATCATAAGTTGGAGGTCAACCTGAGCTATATAATGAGTTCTGGGAATGCATCAGGAGTTGATGCATTCCTTCTACCAAGTAATCAAAAAAAAAAAAAAAAAAAAAAAAAAAAAGCTGTATTCTTAGGGTCAGCAAGATGGCTCAATAGGTAAAGGCGTTTGCCAGCCAGTCCAACAATCTGAATTTGATCCCCAGAAGCCACATGGTAGAAGGAGAGAACCAACTCCCACAAGTGTCCTCTGACCTCCACACAAACATCATGTCACATACACAAAATACATACATGTAATAAATATTTTTAAAAATCCATATTCTTAGCCGGGCGTGGTGGGGCACACCTGTAGTCCCAGCACTTGGGAGGCAGAGGCAGGCGGATCTCTGTGAGTTCAAGGCCAGCCTGGTCTACCTAGTGAGTTCCAGGACAGCTGGGGCTACAGGGAGACCCTGCTTCAAAAAGACCAAAAAAAAAATTTTTTTTTATGTGTATGAGTGTATTGCCTGCATGTATGTAAGTGCACCTGTGTCGTGCAATGCCCATGGAGGTCAGAAGAGGGGGTTGGATCCCCTAGAACTGGAGTTAAGGATGGTTATAAGCTGCCTTGTGAGTGCTGGGGACTGAATCCAGGTCTTCTGTCAGAGCAGCCAGTGCTCTTAACCAATGTGCCAACTTTCCAGCCTGAAAGTTGCCTTTTAAAAAGAATTACAAGTAAAATACACAAACAGAAAAAGTCAGGCAAAGTAGTACTCTACCAGTTATTTTACCATATACATACTGATGGACAAGCTATTCGGAATCCAGGTTACCTACAAACTTTCTACATAGCATTTAATGTTAAATTTCTCAGAAAACTGGCTTATTTTTTTAGACTGGGTCTCACTGTACAGCCCTGGCTGGCCTGGAACTTGCTATGTAGGCCAGGCTGGCCTCAAACTCACAAAGATCCAGCTGCTTCTGCTTCCCAAGTGCTGGGATTAAAAGCATGTGCCATTACATCTGGCTGAAAACTGCTATTCTTTACCTCTACCTGCTCTAAAAGCCAAACCAGTTTTCCTAGTCTGCCTTGTTGATCTCTTGGCACACACATAAAATCCAGATGGTACACTAGTATGGAATGCTGGGAGGGTAAAAGCCTTCTCAGCTTGAAGCCTGAGCATCTCCAACTCCACAAGCAAGCATGATCATAAAAGCTGGACTTTATCTGCAATGTGTGAGTATCTGCACCAGACCAACACAGCAACAACTAACTTCTAAAAAACATTTCCAAAACCGGCCATGGTAATACATGTCTTTAATCCCACCACTGGAGGGCAGGAAGAACAGAAGTTTAAGGTCATCCTTGGCTATATAGTGCATTTGAGGCTAGCCTAGGCTACATGAAACTCTGTCTCAAAAATGAAAGAAACCAAACAAGAACAACAAAAAACATATTCTCCCTTCCAGTCTTATATTAAATTCCAGACTGACCAATGATAGTCACAAGGTATATGTTACCTGTGTCTTGGTCTCCCAACTGTGATGTTTTCACCTCTTTATTTTTATGATTAGAAAAGTTTCAGAAATCAAATGGATGAAACCCACCAACTCTGTTATAGTATACAACAAAATTCACTTGCGGAAATGTCTGACTTGAACACAAAAAATCAGAAATTAAAGGATATTTTCAAAAGTAAACACACTATAAAAACCTCATTAGAACTTAATATTATGATTCATTTTTAATTTAATTATATGAATGATTAATATAACCAAGGAGCTACCTTAGGGATGCATTTTATAAGGTTAGGGTGTTTCCAAACTTGCCTTTAGAAAGTATTTTTTGCTGGGCCTGGTGGCAAATGCCTTTAGTCCCAGCACTCAGGAGGCAGAGGCAGGCAGATCTCTGCGAGTTCGAGGCCAGCCTGGTCTCCATAGCGAATCCAGGCCAGCTGCGGCTATAGGGAGACCCTGTCTCAAAAAGACCCAAAAAAAAAAAGAAGTATTTTTATTACATTCATTCATTTATTTGTTGTGGGGGTGGGCCACAGTGTGCATGTGGGCGTCAGAGGACAACTTTCAGGAGTCAGTTGTCTCCCTCCACCATGGGGGTCCCTGGGGAGTCAACTCAGGTTGTCAGGCTTGACAGCAAGTGCCTTTACCCACTGAGCCATCTCATTAACTCGAATAATTGCCCTTTCTGAAAAACAAAAAGAGGGGAGCAATGGCTCAGCAGTTAAGAGTGCCTGCTCTTGGAAAGGACAGAGGTTTGGTTTCAGAACCCGCAAAGCAGCTACCAACCATCTAGCTCCAGGAGATCCACTACTCTCTTCTGGCCTCCCCAGTCACTGCACACATGTGGTGCACGTACATACATGTAAGCATAGCATTCACACACATAAAATTTTTTAAAGGCAAAAAGATAAGCCAGGTGTGGTGGTTTGTGCCTTTAATTCCAGTACTAGGAAGGCTGAAGCAGGAGGATTGTTACTAGTTTGAGGTTAGCCTGGGCTACAAAAAAAAAAAAAAAAAAAAGACCCTGTCTCAAATAAATAAAATAAATAATGTTAAAATCCTTCTGAATCAGGGCTAGAGAGATGGCTCAGCAGTTAAGAATACTGGTTGTTCTTGCAGAAGACCCAGGTTCGAATCCAGTACCCACATGGCAGCTAACAACTGTAAATCCAGTTCCAGGGGATCGACGGCCTCTTCTGTCCTCTGCCAGCACTGCACAACAGGGGTGCACTTACCTACATGCAGGCAATAAACGCATACACATAAAATAAAAATAATAAATAAAAAAATTTTTTTAAAGTTTTGGGGCTGGGGAGATGGCTCAGCAGTTAAGAACACTGACTGAATCCCAGCACCCACATGGCAGCTAACAACTGTCTGTAACTCCAGTTCCAGGGAATCCAACAGCCTCTTCTGTCCCCCGTGGGCATTGCACAACATGGGTGTACTCACCTACATTGGGGCAATACACATATACACATAACATAAAAATAATAAAAATTTTTTAAAGTTTTGTTTAAAAAAATCCTCCTGAATTAATGTAATTCTGAACTAAGAAAGTCCTAATTGATTGGGTTTTACTGTGTACAGTATGGTGTAACATATGGTGAAATACCCATTAAAATAATCAACAGAGAAGAGTTCACTCCCAATAGCTGGAGGTCTTTCTGCCAGAAAAAAAGCAGGACTGAGCTTCACCACCATTTGTGCACTCAGAAGGGCAACACCCAGACCATACGATCTGATAAAAACAAATAAAATACCTTTGACTAGTTGAGATCAGGGACCAAGTTAAGGCTCCAAAACATGTAACCTTAAGCAGTCAGTGCTACTGTAGGGTGCTTCAACTTCTCTCTCAAGAACCTGGGCTATACAGTCCTGGGTGGGGAGAGAGCTGTGGAGGGGAAGGTTCGGTTTTAGGATGAACCACTTACGAGATGTAGGCTGGGTATCCAAAACCTATCAGGTTGCAGAGAAGAGAGGCTCCATAACCGAACACTAGGTACAAGGCCAGCAGCCCGATCACACCTGGAGACACGAGGAGAGAAATGGGTCGAGTGGCACTAGGGACGCTCAAACCCGGCAGCCCCCGCGCACAGTCCGAGGCTAGGCCTGCTCCAGGCGGCTTCTTCTTGCCAGGGTTAAAGCAGAAAAACCAACCACACCGAGGCTGGGCCTGCGGGTCAGCGGCTGGGTAGAGGATACCGGGCAGTCCCCGGCCTCTCCTCTCTCCACCTAGCCCGGGGTCAGGGTGGCGACAGCCGGCAGTCCCAGCCTCTCCTCCGAGGGTCGGGCCAGGCCGGCTCCCCATCTGCCGCGGGCCCCGCCTTCTCCACCCGAGCCCAGGCTACCGAGGAGCCCGGAAGGTTCCACACCCGCCTCGCGCCAAGCTGCGGGTCCTGACTGTCAGGGCGGCGGGGACGACACGTCATCGCCCTCCCGTCCCGCTCCCCGCCTCCCGCCCAGCCTCCGCCCTCGCGCCCCCACAGCCCCGAACGCCCCGGGTGCCGCTCCGCGTCCCAGCCCCGCGTTGCCTGGGGCGCCTCAGCCACGCTTCCTTCCCCAGGAGCTGCGGCGGCGGCTCCGGGGACCGGCCAGCGACGGCGACCTCCTCGAGCCGCGGCCACCCACCGAGCGCGATGAAGCTCCGGTTTACTCCGGTCTTGGCCTCGAGCTTGGCCAGGACATCAGTCATGCAGTTCTTCTCGTGCAAGAAGCGGTCGAACCTCTCCCTCATGGCTGCAGACATGGCGGGGCCCTTCGCGCACTGCCAGGGATACTCCTAGTACGGGCTGGACGCTGAATTCCACTGACTGGGCGCGGCGGGCGGGCACCGAGGCGCGTGCACACGTCCTCCCAGAGCGCGCCTACCCCGCCCTTGCCACGCCCCCGACCTGCCTCGTCACGCCCCCATCCTGTCTAGTCACACCCCCGTCCAGTTTCGCCACAGCCCGGTCCTGCCTCGCCACGCCCCAGCGCTCGTCCTCTCGGCGCAGGACTGCAGGCATCACACCCGGGCCGGGTCGCCCTACGCCCCTGCTGGCACGGTGAGGTGGCCCCGACTGTAAACAGCCTTGAAGTGGTGACAGTACCCGCGGTTGGGGACAGGGAGTGGGGACAGTGGGTGAGGGGACGTGAATTTCATGTCTTCTATGGTACTTCTTTCTTAAATCTGATAACTGCGAGAAGACAGAAAGAGGCAGGTGACCTTGTTGCCCCGCTGCAGTTGAGGACTGGTTTGGTGTACACACCCTGCTGTGAGAAACATGCTAAGGCATTTTTACCAAAGACGGAACTGGAAGGCCATCCTGAATGAAGTCTGGGTGCACGCCTGATTTCTCCCCTGTGCCAGAACTCAGTTTTTCTCTCTCACAGATAATAGGCTTCTTGAAAAGACCCTTGGCGAAACGGAACAAGCTCTCCTCTGCGGCACACTTCTTCCTAGAGTTGCTCTGAAGCCGCTTGGTGGGCTTGTGTCACCTTGAGGTCCAAGCACTAGGATCGAGGAAGTCTTCACTTCCCTCCAAACAGAATTACCTTCTGGAGGAGGTAGACAAGACTTCCAGTGGTTCCTCCAGCTGTGGTGGCCGAACTCTCTCTCCTCCTATACCTCTACCCTAGTGATCTTATACCTGTATTATTTCGAACTCTCCTTTTGAAATGACTGACTCCTGTTCTGCATACTGCTGCCAACACTCCCTCCTTGCACAGGGGCGGCAAAGACTTCCCCTTACTGACAAGCTAGAATTCCATTTCTCTGTAGAGAATTCAAGGTCCTGTACACAAATTGACCCTCAATGCCCCTTCTTTGTCCTACACAACTTTCCACTTTCATATTGACTTAATCCCCATATTGCCTTCCATGGGAAGAGTTAGGTTACCTTGTCACAAATTGTCTCCCCCCGCCCAGGGTCTGAAATCAACATTTACAGGTGCCCCCTCCAACATCCAGACAAATCAGTTAACAAATGAAACCACATAGAAAGGATTCTTTTGAAACATTCACGCCCAGCTGTCCATTAACCTACATGCAGTTAATTCTCAATTAGAGAGGTATCAAAGAATGAGTCAAAGCAAGGCCTGTAATCAATCCCAGCACTTGGGAAAAGGCAGGAGGATCAGGAGTTCAAAGACAGTCTCAACTACATAGTGAACTTGAGGCCACTGACCTAGGCTATAAGAGACCCTGTCTCAAAGCAAACAAATCCCAGAAAATGTTTCCCAGAATAAAAATTAGGTGGGGGGAAGGTGAGTCAAATTGTGTTGTCTGTGCTCTTAAGTCTCCAATGACTTTCTATCATCTAAAGAATGTCCTTATGTGGGGCAGACAGCTCAGTGTTTGCTAGGCAGCCATGAGGACCTGAGTTGGGAATCACCGGAGCCCCCATAAAAAGCATGTGTGGTAACTCCAGCACTGGGGAGGCAGATACTGGTGGATTGCTGGAGTTCCGAGGCTAGACAGCTGTGGTGGTTTGAATGACAATGTCCTCCATAGGTTCCAAGTATTTAAACACTTGGTCAGCTGGTGGTGCCCTTTGGGGAAGGTTGTGGAACCTTCAGGGGGGTGTGACCTTGCTGAAGAAAGCTTGTCACTAGGGGTGGGCTTTAGCCTTGCCCCATTTTTTAGTTTCTCTCTCTTTCTCTATCTGCTTCCTGTGTCTGCTAGAAGATGTGATCACTCAGCTTTCTGCTCCAGCTGCCTTGGTCAGCTCCTCTTCCTACTAAAAGTTGCCTTAGTCATGGTGTTTATCACAGCAAAAGAAAAATAACCTAACAGTCTCACTGACTTGATGAACTCCAGGTTCAATTATTATTAGAAATAGATCCTCATTATGTAGTCCTGGCTGACCTAGAACTCACGAAGATCCACTTGCCTCTGCCTCCAGAATGCTGGGATTAAACGTATATCCCACCACACCCCACTGTCTCCTATTATTTATTAAGCCTTTGCTCAAATGGCACTTCCCAAGCTGCAATGGTTAAAGTCTCTGGTCCCAGTCTTGCTTAGTACTTACTGTCCAACATTCTATGTGTTTCTAATTGTCTTTCCCCATGAGTTTATGGGCTCCATGGACATAGGTATTTGGGGGCCTACTTTGTTTCTGTATTTAAAGCAACTTAAACAATGCCTGGCACTAGGTAAGTGTTCAGTAACTATTTTTGGCAATGAATGACTATCTTACATATATTGAACCAACCAATATTCTAAGCATTCTGTGGGATAATTCATTAAATCTTCATAAAACTGCATGAGGAAGATGTTCTGTTTTAGATGTATTTAAATGAATGACTATATCTCATGCATTCTAAGAACTACATGGACTAATTCCTGTCCTCCTCAGGACAGCATGAAGAAGACCCTACCTGTCTTATACTCATTTAAAGTAAGAAATAGGGGCTGGAGAGATGGCTCAGCAGCTAAGAGCACTGGCTGCTCTTACAGAGGACCAGGGTTTGGTTCTCAGCATCCACATGGCAGCTAACAACCATCTGTAATTCCAGTTCCAGGGGATCTGATGCTCTCTTCTGACCTCCACAGGCATTGCATGATACAGGTGCATTTATATACATGTAGGCCATACACTTGTACACATAAAATAAAAAATCATAATAAAATAAAAATTAAGTAAAAAAGTACAGTAAGGTCTCACAGTAAGAAGCAGAATTAGAATTCAGACTCAGGCTCTTACATATATTATGTAATATGGGTTGAATTATACCCTCTCCCTCAAAGAAGATAAAGTATATTGGAGCCCTAAACCCCAGTATCTCAAAATACCATCTTATCTGGAGTCTTTACAGAGATAATCTAATTAATGTCCTTAAAGGGGGAAGAATTTGGACAGAGAAAGACAAGTACTGAGAGACAATGGCATGAAGAGACATGGAGAAGATGGTCATCTGAAAGCTAAGGAAGAAAACCTGGAACAGATTCTTCCCCCACAGGGCTCAAAAGGAACCAACTCTGATGATACCTTGACCTTGGACTGCCAGCCTCCTGGAATGTAAGACAATACATTTCCGTTACTTAATCCATACAGTTGGTGCCACTTTGATACAGCAGTTCCAATAAACTAGTATAGATGCTTACCTAGCAAGGGAAATGAATTCTGAAACTTTAACCAGTTGTGAGTTTGTATACTTTTCTATGCATAATATTCATTCACATCTCGAAGTTGATATTATTTCCAAGTACTTAAAGTGATTCAAAAGTTGAAATTTTTGTTTATTTCTACCCAAAGAGCAAAATCCCCTGAAGTACTTGAATAAGCCTAAGTTGTAATCACTTCATTTCTTAGTGACATTTGTCCTGAATCAGCTATGCATGGAGAATCAGGAAAAATGTCACTGATTTGAGTTTCTTTTATGTATTTTTTTCCCCAGGGTTAGACTCCAGATGTCTTCTTTCTGCCCTCTTCAGTCAAGCATTGGTAAGATGCAATGGCACAGCACGGCATGGTGTAGAGCACACTCAGGATTCAGTTTGGCTGGCTAAATCTCAGAACGGCTCATAAGCCCCCTATGCTTCTGGTCCTTCATCTAAAGTAGAATTATGCAACAGAACCTCTATCACAGGCCCCTCATGATGACTAAATAACTTATGACTAAAGTTTTTAGAAAATTGCCTTATGCATGGTGAATGTTTGTTAAGTAATTTAAGAAAAAGCAAGGAAAAAAAACGGGCTAAAATTGAAGTCGAAAAATGTTATATAATTTTGCCTTGAGATAATTGCAGCCAGATTGACGAACGTGGGGGCCCTTTGCTCGGCAATCATCACAAGCCTTAGATTCTGAAAAAAGAGCTGCAAATGAGATATAAGAAAAGAGATACAAAAAATAAGAGCCCTGTCTTGGGTCTCAAACTATTCACCACTCCTGTATGTCCTACGTGGCAGACACTGGGAACCACAGACCACATCTCTGTCTAGTAAACCATGGAGAAGGCTGGGTTGGGGCAGGAACAGGTTGACTGGCAGTTCCTGAGTAGGAAGTCGACCTAACCTGGGGTGATACAATGCTGTTACTATACCTTCCACAAACTGGAGAAGATTCCACTGGAGAACTGTGAACGGGTCATTTTTGTTCTGTGCCATCTGTTGAATCAAGGTAAGATCATGTGAAGTTATTTTGTCCTCATCTATGTTAGGAAGAGGTAAAGCACAATTTGCTGGATAATCCCTTTGTTAAACACCCCCTCAACTCAGATTTGTAAGGAGAGCCTTTTATTGTCACCTGGGACCAGCAGGAAACTGGAAGCCTCTACAGATGACTCAACGCATGCCTCCTCCCTCTGCTTATGATACATGCATCTAAAGAAAAAGAGGAAGAGGTAAACAAAATCTGAGATGCAGACTTGCCAAATGACTAAGGAAAATATAGCCACTGGATATAATTTAGGAAACAGTATTATGCAGCTGGATACACACATACACACACACACACACACACACACACACACACTAACAGAGGTGTGAAAGGAGGAGGAGGACTTGTGAAGAGGGATTTGATGGTGGGGGAAGAAGAGAAAAGAAAAACAGGGCAACTTTGATCAAAGAACATTTATAGATGTTTAAGATTGTAAAATGATAAATTAAAAAGTTGTATTAAAAGAAATAAATGTAGCCAGGCATGGTGGTGCACACCTTTAGTCCCAGCACTCTTGGGAGGCAGAGACAGGTGGATCTCTGTGAGTTCAAGGCCAGCCTGGAGTACATAGTGATTTCCAAGCCAGCTGGGGCTACAGAGAGACCCTGTCTCAAAAAAAAAGTAGCAGAGCAGGGTAGCACACACCCATAAATCCAGCACCTGGAAGGTGGAGACAGAAGGATCAAAAACTCAAAGTTATTCACTTGGCTGCATGAGTTTGAGGTAAACCTGGGCTACATTAGCGTCTGTCTTAAAAAACAAACAATGGGGGCTGGAGGAAAGGCTCAGCGATTAAGAACACTGGCTGCTCTTGTAGAGAGGACCCACGTTTGCTGTAACTCCAGTTCCAGGGGAATTCTACGCCCTCTTCTGACCTCTGTGGGTGTTGCATGATATGGGTACACTCATACATGCAGGCAATACACTCATATACATAAAATAAAAAATAATAAATAAAATATTTTAAAACAAACAAAAAAGGGCCAGCAAGATGGCTCAATAGGCAAAGTCCTTTTGGTACAAGCCTTAGGACCTGAGTTCAAGTCCCAGAACCCACATAAAGGTGGAAGGAAAGAACTGACTGCACAAAGTTGTCCTTTGGACCTCCACACACATACTGTGGTAAACGCCACCCCTGTCTGCATATACATAATCTTTTTACTTTTTTAAAAATTAAAAATTACTTCCAGGCGTGGTGGCGCACCCCTTTAATCCCAGCACTTGGGAGGCAGAGGCAGGCGGATCTCTGTGAGTTCAAGGCCAGCCTGGTCTACATAGTGACTCCAGGACAGCTGGGGCTGCAGAGAGACCCTGTCTCAAAAAAGACCCCCCCAAAAAAATTAAAAACTACCATGATTCATTTAATACAGTTGAATAACGTTTTCTGGTTTCCTCATTTGTCTTATTTTAGACAATTTTTTTTTACTGAAAATGTGGACAAAGCTTTTCATTATATTTCTCCCTTTATCAAATAGGAAGCTGAATTTTAGAAAATCCCTGCTCACAGTTCAGAATAAACAACCTGGGACTATCCTTTAATTTTCCAAAAATGCTTTTATTCTAAATGAAACACCTTATGTGGCTGCTGTCACTCACAAATCTAGAGATTTTTCATCAGGCATGAGAGTGTCCTTGATTTCACCCTTTCATTTCCTGTGCGCCTGCACAGGGGACAGCAAGTAAAAAATAAGGCATTGGCAGATTGTTCCTCTGTGATCATGACCAGTTAGTCTAGTTCTGGACAAATCCTGCATTTAGATTTTATACTTGGTACTATGTTCTCTGGCCCCAGGCTACAAGTCCCACCCCAAAGAACAAATATGGATTTACCTATGGCATGCAGTTTTGGCTGTCTCTTTCTTTCTCAGTAAGTGCATGTGGTATATGTTCATGGATGCACGTGGACACAGCACCATACTGAGGCTAGAGAAGGATATCAGATGTCCTATTCTATCACTTTTATTCACCCTCTATTCCAGGGTCTCACGCTGAAGCTGCAGGTAGGCTGGTGGCCAGCAAGCCCCAGCCATCTTCATGTCTCTGCCCCTCACTGCACTGAGGTTACAAGCACTCGTGGAGCCATACCTGTCTTTTTTCTTTTTATGTGTGTGCTACATATTCAAACTCAGGGTCTTGTGCTTGCACAGCAAGTGCTCTACCCACTGAGCCATCTTCCACCTCCTGCATCTCCGTTCATTCAAGAGGAGAACCAGATAGAGTTCATTTTGTGCACTTTCCTTCGTGACTAGGCATCAAGGAAATTTAGTTAACTTGAACAAAGAAACTGATCAACATATTCATTTTCTATTATTGCTGTAACAAACCATCACAAACATGGCAGCTTAAAACAACATGCATGCATAATTCTTAAGTTTATGTCAGAAGTCTGATCCAAGTCTTACTGGGCTAAAACCAAGGTGTTATGGATAGGGCTTTGTTCCCTGCTAGAGGCTCAGGGGAAGACCCACTTCATGTTCCTTTGAGTGGTTGGCAGCATTCAGTTCCTGGGGTTCTGAGACTGAGATCCCCATTTCCTTCCTCATTTTCAAAGCTAGCAGCAGCAGGGTGAATCCCTCTCTTATTTCAAGTCTCTCTTCTGCCTCATCACTCTGACTCATAAACTTCCACTTTTAATGATTGGTGATTAGGCTGGGGCCATTCACATAATCTAAAATAATCCCTCTGGTCTATATCCTTAATCACTGGTCATGGCATGTTCCCTCAAAGACCCATGTGTTAAAGTCTTGGTTTCCAACTTGGTGCTGTGGGAAGGTAGTAGAAACTGTTAAGCAATAAAGTGAGGCCTTAGCCAGATGTGGTGGCGCATGTCTTCCCAGCACTTGGAAGGCAGAGGCAGGTGAATCTCTGTGAGTTTGTAGCCAGCCTAGTCTACATAGTGAGTTCCAGACCAGTTGGGGCTACAGGGAGACCCTGCCTCAAAAAGACAAAAAAAGAAGTGAGGCTTGGTGAGAGGTTTTAGTCACTGGGGACATGTTATTTCAGGGGAGTGTGAGACGTGGCTTGCTTTCTCTCTTTCCCTTCCAAGCTGCCATGAGGTAAGCAGCTTTGTTCCACCATGTGCTCTCTCTCATGATGTGCTGCCTCACAATAGGCCCCAAAATAACAGGTACTACATGGATCAAGACCACCAGCACTGTGAGCTAAAATAAACGTGACATCTTTTTAAATTGATTTTTCTCTGGTTTTTGTTACAGTAACAGAAAGCGGACTAACAGATCCTGTAAGAAAATATATTCATAGGTTCTTAATATCAGAGCATGGACATTTTGGGAAGGGGTCCTCTATTCTGCCTACCACAATGGCCTTCCATGAGGGGCCCATATGCAGCCTCTGGCTCCTGAGAAAGAGTAAACATTGAGATCAGACAGCTGGCAGAGGTCTTTTATTCACATTAAGAACCAATCCAGGACATGCACAGGGTTATGGCACAGGCACTGTAACTGATATTCTGTCTCCATTACTATCTTGGGTCTTGGGACAGTGCTTATCCACCAGAGCCCAACTATCCTCAGCATATAAAATAAGGATAATGTTAGTATCTATGTCATAGGTTGTCAGACATTGAGGAAATGTGAGGTATGTCCAAAAGACTCATACATAAATGCAGTAGACAGTCACAAGAGTTGATGTCTGAAACATCAATACCTTGTCTAGCTATTTTATTTTTATTTTAGTTTTTTGAGCTGGTCCTGTCAATTCATGGTTGGCCTTGAACTCACTATGTAGCCAAGGCTGACTTCGAACTTCCGATCCTCCTGCTTAGACTTTCCAAGTGCTAGGATTATGAGCATGCACCACCACACTCTGTTTATGCAGTACTAGGGATTGAACCCAGGGCTTCATGCACGCTGACAACTGAGTTACATCCTTAACCCCCTATCTACCTTACCATGGATTTGGTAAAATTGAAGTACTCTAGGAGAAGTAAGAGTACCTTTTCAAAAGGCCAGGCCTGGTGGCATGCACCTATAATCCCAGCACTCAGGAAGCTAAGGCATGAGGGTTGTAAATTTGAAGCAGCCTGGACTACATTGTAATACCTCATCTATAAAAGTAAATATAAATGAAGTATACCAAACACCTGTTTTGTATATGAAGGCTGTGAAAGCATATATTGATGGGTAGAGTGGCAGGCACCTGAACATTAAAGCAGCATTTTCTCAAGGTGTAAAGAAACAGGATTGTTTAGCTCCCATTTTTTCCTCCTGGACTAACATGTGTCCAAGGGAATTGGACCATCCAAGCCTGCTAATGTGGGCAAGGAACTGACCTAAAACCACATTAGTCAGTTGGGCTGTTCTCTGGCCTGTAGCAAGCTGACCGATGCAACTCTTTATCACCGGGCAGTCTCCAAATGCTTCCTGTCTCTCAGTCTCTGACTTTAAGCCATTTTTGGAGGTGTTTTGGCCTGTACTCCTTCAGCTCTTGGGCATCAGTCATCCCCTGACCATGGACTCAAGGATGAGCTTCTTCCTTTGAATATATAAATAACGTTTGTTCTGGCATGAGTTCTGCCATGCAGTTACTCGAGAATATGTAGACCACATAGCCTTTCCCCTTGTCTCCAGGATGCCCTCTCTAAAACTGATTCTGACAGATTTATAGCCAACTAGAATTAGAGGAATTTGGAATAAATTTTGGGGTTTTTCCCCATCTTTTCTTCTAATCTTTCTGTCTACCACCATGAAAAAACACCTGCCAGGCCAGGCATCAGGTTCAAATCTGTAATTCTAAAACTCGGGAGGCTGAAACAGGAGAATTGCCATGAGTTTGAAGCTGGCATGGGCCACATAGTGAGTTCCAGGCCAGCCTGGCCTATGGAGTGAGCCCCTCCTCCTTTAAAAAATAAAAGGGAGCATTGGACATGGTGGTGCACACCTTTAATCCCAGCAGTCAGAAATCAGTGGATCTCTGTGAGTTCAAGGCCAGTGTGGTCTATA